CTATCATGAAGGACTCTGGGTAGACTTGGCCAACTGATGTTTACAAACCAGAATTTTGTATTTTCGTTCTACAGATTTTCCTAGATGAGTTTTTCTAAATTCCTAGGCCAGGTTGTCAAAGTCAGTGCAGTCACGTGACTTCCTTTTTAAAGAAAAAACAAAGAGTCGTTTCTACCACTTTTCCCGGTCACTGTTAAAGAATCATGGAAATGGCGCACTACTTTCTACCATGTTTCATCTTGACATAACATGGTTGTTTTTTTTTTTTTTTTTAAAAAAAGAGGCTGTAGTTGTTTTGTAAATTTTTTAAAAGCTGTTTCATTGACGTGCACCCACACGGTTCCTCCTTCATGTCCTTTCTGCAGCAAGCGGTCAACATTCCACAAACAAACATACCTCTTCTGATGGTTTTATTAAGTGTGGAGAATTTGCCAATTAAAAAAAAAACCCACAAAACTGCAGTTTTCCAAACCTTTCTGCCAATCTCTGACCCCGAATTCAGTACTGCTGTGGGGCTCATAAGCCTGACCTGGTATGGTCCACCGAGAATGAGGAAGTATTTGGATATCATCACCTTGTTCAGAGGACGTCGCTTCGGTCCATGCCTTTGCCATGTTTTCTCCAGGGTCTCTTTCCACAGCAGAGGAGGATCCTGTGCGTCTTATGATAGTATTGTTGGGTTGCCTGTCGGCCAGACACTTCTCATGAGCATTCTGAATTATGGTGAATTGTTGTAATGTCACTGGTGGCCAACGGTTCAGTCGTCATGGTTAAGTCACTGAACTTTCTTGTATCAGTTTGGTGTTCATTTTAAATTGGGGGACTAGACACATAAATTCACATTTCTGCCTTTTCCTCTGCAGTTCTCAATATACTGTTTCTTTTCATACCATTTATAAAACTTGGATTTACACATAGAAACTCATATCAGTGATCCATGGTTTTATGCTGACTCAGTGGGGTGGTATTTATATATTATGTCTAGTTTTCTCTCAATGTCTTATATTAAGATTGATGTATTAGTTGCTTTGCTGTTCATCTTTCTTGGGGTTAGGGAAATGAAGTCGCCTTGCTTTTAGATCAGATGTGAATATAACCTGTTTGCTTAGAAACAGGCTTGCTCGAGGGAGCTGTCAGGTTGAAATTCTGTACCACTGTAATTTTAAAAGAAAGTTGATTTTGCATGTATGTCCAGGCTCTGATTTGGGGAAGTTGTCAAGGCATGACAGAAGAATGGATATTGCTGGTGATTTCTTCAGAAGGCAAAGGGCACCCAAGGATCACACCAGCCGGGTCGCGATCTCTGCATGATTCTGAACAGCGAGCTGCCTGTTGTTTTACTGTGTATAATATTTTATTTTAAATATATTAACCTCCGTGGATTCATTTAGGGTCTACTCATAAGCAACACTGTCAAAACCACTAAAATGTATGTAAAAACTTGTGCTGTAGATTAGAATAAAGTTGTTACTTGGGTTGACTTCCGTTGTCTGGAGCATATGGCTGAAAGTCAGGCTGGGTATTTGGGAGTTTGAGAGTGTCACACATTTGTAATTTGTGTAGTCGTCTTCCAGAGCCCAGAACAGAGAGAAAAACAAAACAGCCCCTTTCCTTTTTAGCTTTCTGATCTGCCTGCTGAATACTGACTTGCCAGAGCTAACTCAAGAACCCATCAACACGTTACCAGTTTGCCTGCTTGCTGGGTGTGCTGATGTTCATGAAATCTCAGCATTTAGGAAATGGAGCTGGGAGGGCTTTAGGCCAAGTCCCAGCTACATGGTGAGAGATCGTAGCAGATATATAATAGGATTTTGTGTGTGTGTGTGTGTGTGTGTGTGTGTGTGTGTGTGTGTACAAAATGACAGCGGTTACTTTTTAAAAACCCAAGCCAACAGCTTGACGAGATCACTCCACACCTCCCTGCTCAGACAGTTAGAGGCTGCTTGTGCTGTGGTCTAATTGGTGCCTCTGATTTATGCTCCTAACCAGCACCTGGCTCTTCCAAGCTCTTTGTCACGTATGCTATTGAATTCAATCACTTGATGTGAAACCTCCCCTAATTGGTTGTAAAAAAAAGTTCAATTTCTCCTCTGTCGGGAGTTGGGTCTAGAGACTTCACTGGGGATTTGTTCAAGGAGGTGTTCTCAAGACAGCTCTCTGAAGAGACCCTTCCGGCCTTCTCCAATCAACCGTCTTGTGGCAGAGTGCTTGCTGTCTGTCTCTCCCTCTCCTCGTTGTCAGTCCTAAGTGAAACTCCTCTCCAGGTTTCTAGGAGAGCCGCTCCTTTGCTTTAGGGCCCTGTCACCGTTCCTTCTTCAGTGTATGATAGCATCTCCTGTGTCACGCTCTTCCATCCTGAGGCCTGAAAGTCAGACGTTTGTAGATACGTCTTTACCCAGGGCAACGTTTGCTTAGCTTATGTAATGCTTTGTGTAATTCAGATTAAAAACTTTCATGTGACCAATGGCTAGGTTAGACAACACTATAACTCTAACCACAGCTCAAGTGTTAGGTGTCATTTCTTGACTTTTGTTTCTGGTGCTGGGGATAAAACTTAATACCTACACGCCGGGTAAGTGTTTTACCGTGGAGCTACCCCCCTAGCCCCTCTGTACTTCAGGCAGTAAGAGGGAGGTGACTTGCTTCTGACTGCTCCATCCTCAATTGAGAAAAGGCTCTGGGTCAGCCCAGCTCCAAAGCCTTGCTTTGGCCACGTACCACTGCCATGCTAGAGTCTGCAAAGTCAAAGAACTTGAACTGGACATTCGCCGAGCGTGGACACGGGAAAGAACATGGTTTCCATACAGTTGAGAGACTCAGTAAGTACCAGAAGACGCTTCAATGGCACTTTGAAGCCATTTTCAGGAATTCTGTCCACTAGCACGCATTTCTAGAGTGCCCGCCACCTGTGCTGCCCCCCTTATGTCTCCTGTCTAAAGTCGTCCTTAAAGGCTAGATCTCTCATTCACCACCCGTCCACCCGTCCTTGATTTCTCCTCCCACTGTTCCCCACAGCTAATCTTCACGGCTGTAGTCTGTACCTTCTTTACCCTCCGTGATAGACTTCCTTGCCCCGCCGCCCCCCCCCCCCCCCCCCCCAGCAAGGCTCTAGAAAATCCTAGCTAGTCCTCAGACTACTGCAGCCGCCCTCTCGTTCGTTTCTGTCCCTACAGAACCTTCTCTGAACAAGCAGCCTCCACACTGCTGCCCGTATCATCTGAAATCAGACCTGTGATTGTGGACTCCGCTTTGCAACATCCATAGATTCCTGGCCGGTGCTTCTGCCTGGCCTCTTCTCACGCAGACTCCCTTGTAATGATTTTGCCTCTCCTAATGAAGCCCTCGACACTCACCCTGTGGTGATTTTCATAACCTCCCATCCAATGCCCGTTGTCCTCTTGCTGCTTCTGTGTCCGCTACAGCTAGGCATGAGTTGTGCTTACCCCGAACCCTTCTTACCCAGCAACATGCTCGTTCCCAACTGCCAAAGCATGCTAAGCTTTTTGACGTGGACGCAGGTACCTGGCATGGTTAGAAGTCCTCCCGTTTAACACAGCAGCTTTGACATCCCTCTCGCAGCCTATGACGTATTGATGGTGCTCTCTATCCGCTGGTCTCTCATCCTGAGAAGGAAGTCTTTCGAAAGAGAAACGAGTCCTACCTACCTTTGTTTTCAGCCTCTAGTGTGGCACTGGGCTCCAGGTGAGAAAATGTGAGGAGTGAAAGAGAAGGAAGAGTGGTTTGGGAGACAGGAGGGTTTCCTGTTTTGGATCTCAGAACCTGGCTTTTCTGGACTAGTAAGGAACTCAGCTTTCGGCTTCAGAAGGCTTGTATAAGCCACAAGGAAGTTGAGAAGCTGGGCTGTGGACGTTAGGCACTACTCTAAAGGAAAGTTACACTTGCTCATTGCAGCTTTCATAAAACCCATCAAGAGATTCCAAGCTTCGAGAATAACCCTTGCCTACATCATTTCCCTATGGCCCTTCCTCCTTTTCTGATTTAATAATAAAATGAGCAGAATCAGCACTTGGTTCTGCAGCCCTGGGGCCTTGACGCAGATTATGCTAAAGAGTAATAACTTTAAAGCACTTATTGATATCATACCGTGTATTTTATCCCCGGGGCATGCACATGTACAATTCCTGGAAAAATCAAGATAGAAAAAAAATCAAAATCTCTGAGTTGACTCCTCGGAATACACCTCCATATGCTTCCTGTCAGTCTTCTCTTCCTTGGTTATAGGACTTGGTTTTGGTTTTAGGCAGCTATCTATCCCATACCTAAAAAATGGTAGGGGCTGGAGAGATGATTCGGTGTTTAAGGGCATAGAGGGCTCTTGCAGAGACCTGTAACTCCAGCTCATGAGGAACCCAATGTCTCTGGCCTTTGCAGGCACCTGCATTCATGGGCATGCGAACAGACATAGAAACATGTACACAAAATGAAAAATTTTAATAAAAACAAAATTTTAAGAATGTTTATATGGCACTCCATTTTCCACACTTAGCACATGCCTTAAAAACGGTCATCTAGCTCTCGGCTGGTGAGATAAAACTAGCTATCTAGCTCAGCAGGTCAGGGCATTGACTGCCAGCCTCAGCTCCACTCCAAAGACCTACGCAATGGAAGTAGAGAACTAACCCCCAAAAGATTTCCTCTGACCTGTGTGTGCGCTGTGGCAGATGTGCAACACACGCACACACACACAAACATGTTTTCCAAGTGTGTATTATATATGTTCTAATACATCATTTTAAGAGGCAGAATATTCTCTTTGACGCAGTACTGGGTACTGAAGCTGAGATTTCATGCATGCTGAACAACAGAGCCAAAATTCTCTGTGGCTCTACCATTTCCCAGAAGTAAAAATTCTGCTTAACCATGCAGCTAGTTTTTGGATTTTTTTTTAGGGCTCTTTTTCAATATTTTATTATTACAAACAGCGCTGAAAGGAAATTAAAGTCTGTCTGTATGATTTATGATATAAAGGCATAAGCCACTGTGTTTATTTGATTTTATTTTTATGCACATGGGTGTATAGTCTGCATGCATGTCTGTGTACGACATGCATACAGTGCCCAGGGGGTGCCATAGAGTGTTGGATTCCTGGAAGAGGAGTTTGGGCATTGAGCCACTATGTGGGTGCTGGAGATTGAACCTGGGTCCTCTGAAAGAGCAGCCAGTGCTCTTATCAACTGGACCATTTCTCCAGCCTCTGCATGATTCTTAGAGGGAAAGCATTATTCTGGTTTACTTGAGTTATCTCATTCAACCAATTAAAATATTATTGTTGGACTTTTTTTTTTTCCTGATCCCATTTTACACAGGAGGAAGTAACCATAGAACATGAGTTTTTCCCAGGGTTAGTGGTGATGGCCTGGGAGCCAGGAAGCCTAGAGGCTGTTTTTCATTTTTGTCAGTTCAACATCTAGGTCAAAGTTTCACTGATAGGCTTATCCAGAGGAAGATTTTTCTAGAGATGGTTTGCTCTTTATATCTCTATTTTGTGTGTGTGTGTGTTTGGTGTCTTCTTATGGCTCCTGCCTTATGCCAGTTAGAGTTGAATAGGAAATGACCCTGACCTCAGAGAAGCAACTTCTCCATCTTGAGGAAGCAAACTAAAGTTTCCCCAGAGGACCTGGACAGTCTTTTTAGTTTAACCAGGCTAGGTTTACTGCTCTCAAGTCTTTCTGCTGCTCTTGCTGTTTTAAATAGGCTGCACCAATGTGCTCTTACATTCTGTGCCATCCCCACCTACATCCCTGCAGCATCAGTGGTACTTCCCAAGAACTGGGCCTGCTGTGCACTGCAGCTGCCTTGAGTGCAGCTATTCCCATCGGGGCCTGCTTGCACCAACAACCCCTCCCCCCACGTCATTCTGCTTAGCTTATGATCACTCTGAGGCTCACTGCAGCCATAGGCTTTAAGTCAAAGTAAGCTGAGTAGGCTGAGGGAGTTTGGGAGACTCCATCTCAGGGGAGAAACCATTGTGCCGGGCCATTCTTAATATACCCGGTTGATGTCGGCCAATGAAAAAAAACAGGCCCTATTTCCACCACACATGTTTGGTTTTCTTAAAACTGCATTAGTGTTTTCTTGATCCCTTTCAGTGAATGACGTAATCTGGTCAGCCTAGAATCAGAGCGCCTGGAACACATTGGCAGGATTAGCTTAGGCAACTTACACTGGATCTCAGTTTCTATCTGCTAAAGGTGTTGATCTGCTTCTGTCAGTTCAGTCATGAGGGGGAAAATGCATTGCATCCTGGGATATTGTTGGCACTAGATAAAATATTCAAGTGCTTCGTTACCGTATGGCCAAGCCTTTGAAATGAGGGCTGGAGCCTACCTGCAGAGATTCTCCATGCAGAAGCAGCCTGAAGGAACTCTTTAAAATGTTCGTGCATTTCTTAACTTTTAAAAATAACAGCAGGGACTGGAGAGATGGCTCATCAGTTGAGAGCATTTGCTGCTCTTGGAGAGGACCCGAGTTCAGTTCCCAGCATCCATGTCTGATGATTCGCAACTGCCTTTAACTCCACCTCCAGTGGATTTGACCCCTTCTGGGTTCCATGGGCACCCTCATACATGTGTGTGCACAAGCAAACCTATTTTTTAATGGCCCATACTTTCTAAATGGTGTGTGTGTATATGTGTGTGTGTGTATTTTTAAAAAAAATCAATTCTTTAAATATTTAACATTTTTTTTGAGGCAGAGGCTGTGTGTTTATGGAGGAAGATGGACAAGTTATTTTATGCCCAGGTGATATTGTATGCTTAGTAACTTATCAGGCCTTCAGTAAAATCTGTTGTTACTTAAGCCTGTCTCTTGGGGAAATCACAGACTAGCGGACACCCCAGGAGTGCCTTCCAACTACCTGCTCCAATGCCTTTATCTTGTTTCTTTCCCAGGGAAGTATCTCCCTTTCATTCAATCAATGTTCATTGGGCTTCAACTAGGTGCCAAAGACTGGTCAAGACATTGGGATGCTGGAATAATAGTAAAAGCCAAGCTCTAGCGTGATGCAGGCTGCATCCTTCCTTGCCTCCCTCTGTAATCTGTATTGGGGTCTTTATGAGCTTTTGTCAGTTTGTTGGCACCGTATGAGAGGCCACTAAACAAGGCAATATGTGCAGGCGAAGGGAAACAAATGCTGGTTTACCTAGATTTTCAGTGTAGGGACCTTTCTTTGCGCCACACACTTTCTTAGCTGGTAGGCTGAGTACAAATTGTCCAAACAGCACACACTTTAAGGGAACCTGTGAGGAAGTCTGAATAACCTTCACAGGGGAGTGAGTCACCCTCTTCTTGGGCTGCACTTGACTTTGTCGGGCTCATTTGGAAGTAGAATCGATTTCCCAGGCAAGAGATGATGCCAGAGAAACACCTGCCTGGGCTGAGATGTTTTCCTTGGCTCTGGAATGCCTATAGTGTCTCCATTATCCCTACCAGTCCTTCTAAGTGTCATCCTGGTTGTTGTGGCTGGGAATACGGGACTAAATTATAAGGCGAGTCTGCCACATGGGCTCATTCAGTCTCCAGAGGAGGGCAGGAGAACAAATGGACAATTATAACTCAATGTTTATATTGGGTGTCATTGTCAGACGAGGGAGTGATTAACTTGCTTAAGGACTCAGAAGCTTGCCTGAAGAAGCGCCATCTTAGATGAGACTTGAAACATGACTGAGGCATCAGTAAGGAGATTGGGGAGGGGGCGGGAGGGGGGGGCGGTCAGGGCAGTATGAGTGCACAGAGTCAGGGCAGGGGAGTGGCACAGGGTGCATTTGGGAGAATGAAGGCTGCAGGGGTGTCTGGAAGGGAAGACAATAATAGCAGCTAATGTCGATTGAGCTCCCACTAAGAGTCTGGCCCATTCTGTATGGTTTTCATCCATATTGACTCATCTGTTTTTTTTGAGAGCGAGTGTAGTTTTGGAAACACATAAATTCTTTTCCAGCCAAGTAAATTTCTTTGTCTCAATATTTCTGAATCATTTTGCCTTTTATCTACCCCCTCTGATCATGCACCTCTCTAAAACTGTTACGGAAGAAACATATTTTATGGTCCATAGGAGTGAATGCCTGTGTTAAAATTGTGACCAAAAAAAAAATGCATGGTGAAATACATTATGAATGGGTCACGGGTCATTTGTCATCGGGAGTTTTTGTGCTCTGCTACTGACAAGCATAATCAAGATCGGGAGGTGTTTACAGAGGCTCCATCCAGGCATTTGATTCATTCAACTAAGAGAGCCCTTCCTGTGCACCGCGTGCGTTTCCCGGTGCTGGAGTGAAGACAGCAATCAGGACAGACATGGGTCTGCTTCACGGCATAGGCACTGTAGACGGGAGGAAACAGACAAAACCAAGTCAGGAAACAAAGTGTGTCAGGTGGTGGTAAGTTCGAGGGGAAAGAATGGGTCAGGATGGAGTCATAGGGAATGCTGGGATCGATCGGGTCCCAGATACACAGATCAGGGAAGGCCTGCTGGAGAAGCGGGTGTGAGAGCAAATGGCCTGGCCACCCTGAAGCTTGCTGGGAAACGCCTCCAGGCAGAGGCCACAGGAAGTGCAAAGGCCTCGGCTAGAGACACTGATTTGGATGAGGCGATTGATGGAGGCATGACAAAGGCCCTGGACCAGGCTTGAGTCAGGCTCTTCCTGACCCATTCCTGACCCCCTGTGTCATTTTCACAAAATCCTCTGCTGGGGATAATGGGTTGAAGTCCTTGTCCCTCCTCACCTGGCCTTCAGCGAGACTCGGCCTACCATTGATGTTTCTTCTCAGTAATATTCCATCCACTGACCCCTACCTCTCCTTCTGGGCTCTGATTCTCCGACAGTCCTTGTTTTCAGAGTTCATCCCAATAGCCTGGCTGGCTAAACACCGCCTTGCCATCCTTGAGAAACGTCATGAATTATTTTCCCTTTAATGGTGGTTCTGAATGACAGGCTACCCAGGGCCACGTAAGGCCCAGAGGCCCATGTCTGGCGTAATTATTACTGGAGGCATTTCTTGTAGAGTCTTCCATATGGCACGTAGTATAATTATCCCGGCATGTCCATTCAGAATACCAGATTGAGGCCTGGCTCCTAAAAGGTGGAGGATACTTGGACCAAGACCTCAGTCTCAGCTCGGTTCCTGCTGAAATGCAGGTGATTTCCCAAGGCCGTCGACCTCACAGAGCAGGAGAACACTCTGAAGACGAATTTTTAAAATGATCCTATTTATTGACTTTGTGTGTGTGGTGTGCGTGTGCGCACGCGCTCGTGAATGTACAAGTATATGTAAGTGTTCATATGCCTTTCTATGCAGAGGACATCTAACGCCTTCCTCTATTATTCTCGACTTTGCTTTATGGAGATGTAACCTCTCACTGAGTTAGGACTTTATCAATTCAGCTGGACTGGCTGGCCAAGGACCCCCAGTAGCCGCCTGTCTCCATCACCCAATGCTAAGGTCATAGTGGTATACAACAGCACCGGCTTTTTATGTGGGTGCTGGAGGGTCTGAACTCAAATCGTCCTGTTTGTGCAGCAAGTACTTGGCTGATTGGGCCATCTCCTCAGTCCCTTCTGATGCTCCTGAAGATAAGGGTGCGCCAGCATACTCCTAAGAGCCCCACAAGTCTGATTTCTTGGGTGACTGCTGGAAGGGCTGGGGATAGACTTGCCACTCAGGAGGGAGAAGCTGAGATACCGGCTGAACTTCCTCCCTCCTCTCCTCCCACCTGCACCCCCCCTCCCCCCCGGCTGTCCTCTGCTCCTCTGAATGATGGTATCTCTGGAGAGCTTGGCACCTCCCTGCTGCAGGCTGATGGAGCTGCATTCCTGTGAATGTCTCTCCGAGAGATAACATCCTACAGCCAGCCAGTCTCGTTTTTTACTTAGCATTAAGGGATTGAGCTTGTCAGCAAAAGTGAAAGGCCCTGGGAGGTTTTGCTTAGGCGAGTGTAGCCTGGCGACCACTGGGGAAGGAACGAGGGCTAGGTGGCTTAGCATGCCCAGGCTTGCCGAGGCAGGGAGACGGTTATGCATCCAGCTCCAAGGGCCGCTGTGTAGCTATTTACCTAGGTGTCCAGCATAGAACCTGAGACTCAATATATGCTCAATATATGTCCACTTCTTTCCTTCCCATAAGAGGAGCTCTGACAATCATCAGATTGTCCTTGGCTAGGAATCAGGACAGAGCAATGCAGGTGGGCTGGTCACATATTCAGTTTCTTTTATGTCATGTGAGTGGCGGGCAGCCCTGGCGCTAACACATCAGTTGCTGGACCCTTACTTAACTACTGAGTCTCACCACCTCTCCATTTGGGGTCTTCTTTATATTTCCCCTCTATAAACCTACATAATGTCTGGGCATGGTCGTGCATGCCTTGGCCCTGCTCTTCCTGACGTGACTACCTTTATTTCCTGCGTGCATTCCTGACCTCTTCTTCTGAATCTTTTTACTGCTTCCTCCCATTCGTAGGGCCCCTGAATCTTGTTTCCAATGATCCCCTCTTCCCCTCCCTACCCACTATCACTTGGCGATCTCACTGACATCCATAGTCTGAAACCAAGAGCCAGCGCCTGATTTCCAAATCCCACAACCCGTTTATCTACTAGCTATTTCTGACAGGTGTCCCTCCACACCTACATCAAAGTCAATATTTTCAAGGATAAATTAATCACCTTTTTTCTTAAACTGGATTCTCATGCAAACCAACACTAAATACCTGTATAGTCACCCAGGCCAGAGATATGGAATTAACTCATAACTCCTCCCTCTCCCTCTACCGTGTCTCTGCCCTCCATGGTCCCCGGGTCTCTACTGAAATGTCTTCTCACCCTCTCCACAGATACTACCCTGACTACAGTCTTGCTCCAATCATAGTTGGCGTGTTATGATAGCTCCCACAGGTCTACCTGCTGCCCACTCCAACTCTCCTAGGCCCAGAACCTGCTCCTCCATCACATTCTAGTACATTCCGTTATGCTAGCCATGAATCACATTGTATTTTGCTCACCTGTTTCCATAATAAACCACAAGGTAAAGACATTTCTCAAATCTTTGTACTCCTCACCTTCAAGAAGTTTCCAGCATGGAGGCATGACTTGGAGCTTGTTTTGAAAAGGAGTGGGTGAATGACTTGAAGACATGAATGAAGACTTGGTGGTCAGTGTACCGAAGGGAGCGCTCATTGAGATGACGGCTTGAAATGAGAGAAAAGTCCGGAAAAGACAAGAATCAAGGAGGCCAGGCTGTCCCCTGGGTAAGCTAAAGTCTTCAATAATGACAGCAAATGAGAGGAAACACCTTGAGGCAGGCTTAATTCCAGGTGATCTATACACCACCCCTACCTATAAAGAACACCGCTCCCGTTTCCAGGATCACCCTGAACAAAGCAAAATTAAGACCATAATAACCTTATTACCTTTTAAAATGGTCATAGTGCTGAACTAGAAAGAGCCATGCTGTTTAAGATGAACTGTTCTTTGAGGAGATTCTGTTTCTTGTAGCATGGATATCAAGATTAATTATGTTGTCCAAGGACACTCCTTCCTGATGCATCAGAGCAAGGTCACACCTTACAAGGTGAAAGTTGTGTCATATCAAACCAACCAGGGGACCAGAAAGAACATGGGACTCTGGAGAGCTAAGGTCCTTTTCCAGTCACACAGGCAGTTAGGGTCCTTTCACATTTAATGCCAGAAATGTTGAGATCCCTGAATTATAATGACTGTCACCATCACGCAGAGACTCCTGGGAGCTGCAGGAATGCTGGTGTCTCCCCATCCTAAGACAGCGTTCTTTAGGACTTGGGCACCTTCATGCCTGCCACTCTGGCTCCTCTTCAGGTTTTCTGGAGGCCACCGCGTGGCAAATGTCCCATATATTTCCTTACAGCTGAGAAGCAGAGCAGCCTAGGAGGTTAATGGCCCAGGATCACACAGTGAGTTGGAAAGCCGGCCAGGCCCTGTGCCCAGGCACAGTAACTTACGAAAGGCTATTTTACCAAGTCCTCTATGAGGCCTCATCTGTTCTTTATTTAAGTCTGGGGTAAAATTAAATTTGGGCAAGAAGAACAGAAATATAATTAAAGGATCTGGCAGGGGACTAGAAACCCCAGGGAGCAAGTCATTCCATTGTGCCTTTTTCTTTCCTTAATTTTTAAGCTGCTTGAACATGCATACGATTTTCTTTGTCTCCCCCCCAAATGTTCCTCTTCCTATTAAAAGCTAATTCTTAGAGTGCCAAAGCCCAAGCCTTTCAGCACCTGGCTGCCTTGGGCCTGACCTCTCCTTGATGAACCCTACAGGAGCTGACCAAGTGACTCAACTTGGGTCTTTTAAAACCTTTTAAAGTTTGCGTTAGAGATAATGGCATATGTATACAGGAGTTCACAACGGCGCAAGTCTAACACAGAAAACCTAGCCCAGAGAGATTATAAACCCATTACTATCTCAAGACACCATGCCATTTCCAGCTGCCCTGAGGCAGAATGAGCTCAAGAGTTGAAGAAGAATGTCTCATCCAGCTTTCCCTTCTCCTACCTAGATGGTGCTGGGAAAGTCACTCAGAGGAGGCTCACTTGGTCTGATTGCCGGTTAACCAACCTTTAGAAACTCTGACGATCCCACAGTGAAGAGATGCTGAAGACCCTGTTCAGTAAGTTGTATAGTACTCTGAAATGTGAAGAACTGTTACTAATGGTTCTCAGGATTCTTGGAGCCTCAACAAGCAAAGGTGTTCATGAAGTAGACAGGAGGTGTTCCACGGTGCACACCTTCTGTTCAGACTCAGTGATAACCGCCTGCCATGCAGAACTGATCATCGCCCGCCATCTTGTTTTTTTTTTTTTTTTCTGCACACTTCACTACCCACCTTGGTAATGCTTTTGTTTTATCTCTGTTCACAAATAATCTTGCTAACAAGCTTCTTTCCCCCACTTCCACCCAGGCTCCTTCAGTCCCAGGTCCTGGTTTTGATACCCAAACCATAGCAACTCATTCTGGCTTTGGCTAGACTTTCTCCAAAGGACAGCTAGCATTTTCTTCTTCTGGAATATTCCCGATAGGCAGAATCCCCAAGCAGTAGTGAGAATCCAAGAAAGAAGCAGCATAGGCACACGAGGGACAGAGAAGAAAGAGACTTCTAAGCAGACTGGACTACGGAGAGACATAGTCTCCTTATGAGGAGGTTTAGGGACCAGTGATGGCCAAGATGAAACACAAGACCTCAAATGAATTGTTACAGTGCAGAGGGAAAGATGATTAGAAACAAGAAAAGAAAAAACTGATAATAAATAAAAGATAAATACTTCAGATGGAAACAATTCAGGGTAAGGAACCAACAGAAGACTTGGACTAGAGGGTAGTTAACTCAGATGGCACGGTAAAGGTCAAGGATTGTGCCCTGAGTTTCCTGGGTATCCATCCCACCATATCCACTGGAGCCAAGGAGGCCCTGCTAACTGCTGGTTGCCCTCCCCAGGAAGGCAAAGCAAGCCATCAGTGTAGATAAAGAAATGCTTTTGACTTGGGTCCTTGAAGCTATGATGAAGAAAGTGACCTCTTAAACCTTGAGGAGCCCCCCCACCCCCACATTGAGACTTTCCCATGGGCTGAGTGAATAACTTCTTCAGGCCATTTTTGATTTTCAGTCCCCAGCAGCCACAGACACTGTGGCTAACTTATGCCTCTCGTGGGTTATTGTTCCCTCCCCCAGGTAGTTTACCCATCTAGCCACTGACTGTTCTGCTGTGAGAATCTAAAAAGACCGAGTTCGTCTTCCTCTATTTCCAGGGATGGCATTAAGAGTCTGAGGCACTGCTTAATGTGCCTAGCATATCAATGACACCTGACAGATGTCTGACAGACTGAACCGGGTGAACAAGTCACGGGGCTGCTTTAAAGGTGAGACACCGAAGGAGGTCCTCATTTCCCCCAAGACATTCCAAAATAAGACCGCAAAGTCCTTTCTAGGTCACAGAAAGCCTTCACGTTTCTCATATAATTTCAAACCTTAACCTTGTACTACTCCAGGGAGCACCATTATCTTCTCTTTATGGATGAAGAAATAGAATAAGAAAGGTTAACTTGGCAAGGTTAAATCAGCATGGCGCTTAAGCAACGCTCAAGGATAGTCCGCCTCCCACACTTTTCTGGGCTCCGTAAATAGATGGGGTGATACAGTCGATATCCGGGCTCTGGATATGCCTTTAAAAATGACCCGTGTGCTTACTGACCTAGGGGAACAAGGCTATGGTGACTGTCAGTGTGTCCGGAACCCACTGAGCACTGGTAAGACCACAGATTCGTTCCCAGACCCAGAGCCTGTTTCCACTCTGGCTCCACCAACGCTGTCTGCACACCCAGCAGATGCATGGGACAGAAGCTTCTAGAGAAGCCTGGGGACATGAGTCAGTGCTAGTCATGTGAGCAAGAGAATCTGAGTTGAGAGCCACAGAACCCTTGTAAAGGTGGAGGCAGAGCTTATGTGTCTAGTACCAGTTCTCCTAACGAGAGATGGGAGGTAGAGGCGAGAATCCAGCAAGTTTGGGGGTCACTGTCCTGGCATTCTCAGCAGCAAACAACAGACTCTCTCTCGCATGAGGTGGAAGCTGAGGACCAACACTCCACCAAGTTGGCATGCATACGTCCATACTCACACACATGAACATGCACAGACACACATGTCTTGGGGTTCCCTAGAGAAACAAAACCAATGGGATGAAATATATATGTAACAATAGAACCGAGAGCTGGGAGCCTAGTCATTGCTCTCTTCCCCAGACGGGGTGGTTCCTTAGCAGTTCCAACATGGTACCAGAAGCCAGGAAGTTTCTGGAAGCCTGTTGGTCCCTAGTCTACAAAGGAAGCTTGAAAACGCTGGTTTATATCAACAAAGAGAGCAACAGGAGTAACAAGAGGACAGATTAACTCAGTTGCAAGGGGGAAGGCCATGGAAGGAAAGGGAAGCTGCTCTTCCTTGGACCATGCCCACATCCAGGTGGGTCGCCTCATGTCAAACATGGCAATCAGACACTTCTCATTTGTGACAGGTTAACATTAAAACCAACCATAGTAATAGATAAACACTCACGTACCACACACATACACATACATACATACATACACACACACCACATACAATTTTTAAAACGAACCCTTGCCTTCTAATGCTAGCAAATGGCGAGTTTTATTTTTTTCATTTTGAAATTCACCTTTGTTTTTAAATTTCATTTTACTTTTGGTATACTTTTATTTTAGATTTACAGAAAAACTGTGATGAAAATACAGAGTTCCTACAAAGCCCCATGGCCAGTTTGTCCTATTACTGAAATCTTAAGACTTCAAGGAGTGTTAATCGTGGTTAATGTACTAAAATCAATAAATTGTTAGTAAAGTTTATACCCTGTTTGCCTTTCCTTATATTTTGCATAATTCCTTTTATGTGTTACAGGATCCCATGTTACATTAAGTCATGGTGTCTTATTTGACTCTTCTGGGCTGGAACAGTTTTTCAGTTTTGTTGCTGGTAGTGGTGGTGGTGGTGGTGGTGGTGGTGTGTGTGTGTGTGTGTGTGTGTGTGTGTGTGTCTGTGTTGAAGAGTGCTGTTTGCCTGTGTTGTGTGCGTTCATTTGGATTTCCCTGCTATTTTCCTCACAGTCAGCCAGTGGTTCTGGGTTTTTGATGGAGACCATAACGCTCCAGTGATATTTGCATTCTATGTTCTCAAGAGTACATTCTTCGACCGTGATTCATCACGGGTGATGCTGACCTTCGTCCCTGGCTGAGGAAGTGTTTATCAGATGCCTTCTCTCTAAGTAGTCCTTTTTCCCCTTTCCACACTAAGCCCGTAGGAAGGACATCACAGTTAAGGAACAGGGAGTTACACTCCGCATCCTTGAACACAGATTATGTACATGAAATTACTTGGAATTCTTCTCCAGGCCTTTGGCTACTCTCCTTCCTTTTACTTGTTCTTCCCATCATTTGTTTCCATCAGTATATAGCTGAGGGTTTTATTTTATTTTCTGAACTACGCCGCTTGATTTGTTCAGCTGCTCAAATTGCTCTGGCTTTGGCCACCACCGGAGGCTCTTTTCTTTGGCTGACTGAACTTTTAACCCACACAGATGTTCCGACGTCTCTGTGGGAAGCAGTGACGGAAGAGGATTATTGTCACCTCGAACTCTTCCACGAATTT